ATGAAGTTCCTGAACTAAGAAACTTACCTTATAGAGAAGTGTAGAAACTCAAGGCAGGTTTGATTTGGCTTTTCGTTGGTTGAGCAATTTTTGGCAGCAAAGTAAATAAAAGGCAACATAAATTTCAAATGGAAATGAAGCTACAGCTCCAGACACACATACCAACTAGACTGAGAAACTTAAAATGTTAAAAATGCTGTGATAGTCAGGAATATGTGTAGAATTAAATCTGTAGTTTTCAAATGTCCACACAATTTGGACAAGCAAGGCAGTAAATCCTCATGTTAAAAACCCCTTACTCCCTAAAACTAGCTTAATGAATTATCCAGGACCCAAGTAAATGAAATATTCTACTTTTCATTTAAGTAGCCATGACTCTTTCTAGCCTCCCTTTACAAGCATGTATAGGAAAAGCCAGGAAATTGGATACTAAATCAATGCTGCCTAACATCATGTCTCTGACAGTATCTCAGGAGCCAGGAGAATGTGCAAGAACACGTCAAGTTTCCTTCTGGTTGCTAATCAGACATAAGCTTTGGATTTTGGGGTTAATCCTAACAATCAATTTTTAAAGTGATATTAATTTATACAGATATTTTTAAAAATCTGTACTTGCTATCATCTGTCCAATTCCTTTTTTAATCTTGTTTAATTCTCAGTCTCAACCACTTCCTGTAGCAGATGAGCTTCCCAGCCTAATTGCATGAAAAGGATATCCTTTAAATTGCTAGAGATTTTCTAAGTTTTGGCCTCATTTTTCAATGCTCACGGCTGCCTTTTCTGTCCAGTTCTTCCACCACAAGGACAGGCAGGACTGAAGCACTCCAGCTCTGCTGTTTCCAACCCATTCACACTTTACTGTTACGCCTGCTCATTCACTTCAAAGGTAAAATAGCTCAGCCTTTTCACAAGCAAGCTCTTCCACACCTTTCTGCATTTGGGTCACTTCTTCCTAAAGAGTTCAAATAGCCTGAGACAGTATCTCAAAGGGAAAAAAAAAATCATAGAAGTAACTGATGAGTTTGCACCTCCAGCCTTACATATTTTTTTTAAATCAATTAACCCAAGCAGGCTAAAAAGTAGCTCACGGATAACACATGCTTACCAGAGGTCTTGGGAAGCCTGTACATGTCCCAGATAATTCAGAATTTTTTAAGGTAAGCATGCACATAAAAGTGGCAGTTTCTCATTACACATGGTGCATGCAAAGCAATATAGTTTAACCATGTTGCACATTCAGTCACAGAACAAAATAAGGCACTTTAAAACTGCAAAAAGAGTCCATTTGCTGCCAAGAGTCTAGTCTTACAGTCTTACAGTCTCAGGATCAAGACCTACAATTTATGTGGCAGTTAAATGCCACTAAAAAGAGTTTCATGTATCCAAGTAATGAATGCAGACCATTTACTTTTAGAAGATAAGCTGCATTTCACATGATAATACAGCTGTCACAATCAGCAATGAGGGATTAAAAAATTCTCCTGCTGTGAGATTCAAAACCCTATTTGCAAAGAGAAGTAAAATATTACCATGTTATATGGAAAGGGTTTAAAAAAAAAGCACAACACTAACTTAACTTCCTTGCACTTTCAAGAAGGAGACAGGATTGAAAAAAGATACACATAAATTTGAGTGTCATAAAGATCTCTTAGGCTCTTTTGTGACCCCACAAGCACAAGAGAAAAGACATGGTCAGCCATACAGGCCAGTCCAGCTAATGCATTTTCCCTGCAAAAATTATTCCCACTACTCTGCCATCATTTTCTGCCTCAGCTTTCATGGAGACAGGAAACTGCCAAGTACAGGCTTCATGCTGAGCCAGACATCCAAATGTCTCCTACCCTGCTGCTCCCACACAGCCTGCTGCAGAAGGTTGTGAGTCCCTCCTGTCTACGTTTAAATCCACTGAGGGGCAACACCACAAATGGTATGTGGCCAACGTCATCATAAAAGTCTCCAAACCAGCTAGGACTTTGAATTACTGGTGTGCCTCTAACCTCAACACAGCTTATTTATTCACAGTAAATGGTAAAGCTAATTGGATAACAGAATTTTTAAGTCACCATTTCAGTAGTTTGTGATAGACTGTAATCCAAAAGGTGAACAGCAAGAAAGAGACACAGCCCTGCTTTTGACGTTACCTACAGAAGCACCATGGTCTGAAGAAACATCATTACAGGCTTCCCTTGTTCTCACCTCTTTCTCTAAGGAGGAAACTGGAGTAAGTTGAAACCAGATCCAACCAATCAATCAATCTCTTCTGGATTGATACAGGCTCTGGAAATGGGCTTTGACATCTGCACTGTTACACAACACCTCTTGGCCTGGCAGTAACACCAGATGACCTGGCTCCACTGAGGCCATTCCCAAGCCCACCTGGATTCTAAAGCACCTGGAAGGCAATTCAAGCAGTCCTCAGATGCAGCCACTCATCACTTTTTACAGGCAACCTCAGAGGACACGGCCTATTTAGGTAAGTCCTGAACTGGACATACTCACTACTTGCTTATTGGAGCACCAAACCCAAGCTTTTGTTTGGAGAGAACCCAGGTACTCAGGGTGGGCTGATGATGGCAGAGAAAGGGGAAGAAAGCATATGTATTCACATGCAATTTATTTGAAAAACCAAGGCTTAATGGCATGAAAAAAAATTTAACATATGAAGACCATGAACAAAAATATTCCCAAACAACTATTTATAGCTTTGACCTTCTAGATTTTCTGCATCACTAACTCAAGAAACAGCCTGCTGCCTGGCAAGCAGAGGTGAATGAAAGGAGAGCAATGCCAACTTGTTACAGAGAGGCCTTGCTAAAGAGATGCTGTCAGCCTGAAAATTTAAATTTCTATCTAATAGATATTAGATGTGTAGTGGGGTCCCTTTTCAGTATTTGCTTTGCTCCCCTGTCACCACTTGATGCATAAATAACCAATTTCAATGCTCTGCTGACAAAAGCATTTTGTATACTACACTTCCCAGCATATGCTTTTAAAGAAGCCGGAGGAGTGCTTGCTTCTAGCAGAACAAAAGCAAAACATAAACAATAGCCAAAAAAGTCCTATGTACAAGAGGTACAGTACTACTGTCACCTCCACTTCCACTCCTTTTCCAGGATAACTATATTTGTTTCAGGGATCTTTTAAATATTATACTCAGGAAACTCTTTCCAAAGAGGATATGTTCTAAAGTTTGGGATTTCTTTCCTTTTTTTGTTTTCTTCTTTCTTTCCCCTCAGGAGCAGAATCTTAAGTCAATTATGGCAAAGAGATTCCAGTATTACTAGAAGGATTACATTATGAAATAGACTTCTTAAATTTCAAGTGTATATTCCAGATTTTGTTCTTCAAAGTTTCATATTTCAAGCATTAAAGGAATCAAGATTTTGCCTCAGAACTGGTAAAAGGCAGCAAAGATGATCTGAAAAGGAGGAACTGAAAACACTGCTCGTTTTAATTCCTAGAAGTTATGTAAACAGAAAACTTGCATGCTACATAGCTGGACCACATCTTCATAATTATTATTTTAATGTACATATGCACATAAGAGAAAAAAATGGAGCAAACTCAAAGAAGGCTGTAATAGGGCAATCCCTAAGATGAAGAGATACAAGAATAAAACTGGATGGCTGGGCAGAAAGAAGGGATTGGTAAGAGACTAGCACCAACGTGTATCTGAAAAAGCAACAAGCCTGCCAATATATGTGCTTCAGCTCCCATTTGCACAGCTTGACTAGTAACAAAGCTACTGCCTAGGCACATATGAGCAACACTTACAAGACCTCAGTAGCCACAAGCTGCTTTTAAGATTTAAATTCTTACAGAACCATAATCCTCATAACAACATCTTAAAGGCAAAAAGCTTAGTGGGTTTTTCTTAACCTTCTTGGTAGCTGCAAATAAAACACTATAAATAAAACTAGCTAGCTAGTTCTAGCCATTTTTAACTTTTTTTCCATTTTCTTTTAGAATTAAGTGAGTCTTCTTGAATTGACTTGCAATAAGAATTAAGCTTCCAAAGAAATGACACATTCTGTATCATTTACCATGTTCTTACCACACCAAACCCACCTAGTTGGCAGCATTTAGAAAAGAAGCATGAAGCATGTTTGCTGAATAGCTTAAGCTACAGGAGCACAACCTACATATTTCACACAACCTTGCACAGCAGTAACCACTCAGGTAAAAAGCTGCTGGTATAGTAAATAGCTTTAAATTCTACAGAAATAAAGTGAGGTTTGTCAGTCTTTTTTCAGCAGTCATACTAAAATTCTGAAGGACTCATTCAGAGGCAACGTGGTAACAAGTAAGGGGAATGAGCTACAAGAAATATTTCTCCAATTTGCAGTTAGTATCTGACTTCAGACCTTAAGAAAGCACGCATAAAATCTAGAAAAGGCAGCCAACAAATCTTCCACTTAGAGGGGCTACCAATGGCATGGTTGACAGGATGGCTTTGGGCATTTAGGCTCTGGATTGTGCATAAATGTCAATTTATTAAATAGGTCAGTACAGGTCCAGTGACAGTGATGGTAAGTGTTACAGTTCTAACAGGTGGAGATGGCAGAGTAAACAAAATAGCTACACTGACAGTAAAAAGCCAAGAGTAACAAAGTAGCAAATACTGCATATACATATCCTACCCACTTAAGTGTCCTACTGTTTTATCCTGAAGCAGAAAGACAGTATCTTTCCCAAATACATACATATGAATGGCTCTTGAATTGTAACACCATACCAGCTTTTGTCAATTTCAAAATGATATTAAAATTCCAGGTAAAGAACAGGCTACATGTTACTATCTGCAAATGCCCTAAGTCATTGTGGTCCATCAAACATCAGAGTTCCTATAATACTCACACAGTGAGGAAAATAAGGGTTCACAGAGAATTTGACAGGTGACAAAGGACTCACCAGCACTAGATTCATAGCTCACTTCTTCAAGGCTTAGAAACATGAAAACTGTATAAAAGAAAACTACCAGTGACCAACCCAGTTCTTACCTCAGCAGGCTTCTTTTGTTCATTTGCTGGTGTTTTTGACTTGCTCCTGTACTTAGAACAAGAAGAAAAGGAAGTAGAAGGACCTGTTTAAAAAAAAAGAAAAAATAAAAAAGGATCATTATGGCTTGGTTCAATTCATTTAATTTTTCCAGTGAAACACCAGGCCCTCCATCTCTTGAATTACAATTTTTGACAAGATGTGGGCAAAAAAAACCTGTTAGGCAGTCTGTAGGCTTAATTTCAGCTCTTCCTGTTCCACTCGTTCTTTATAAAACCACAGCACACGAAGTTTATGGGTACACTCTGCTCTGCCCAATACAAGCATGAGTAAACAGAAATAAGCAGACAGACTGCTTTCCTTCATTTAGCTCTTTTCTAACAAAGTAGAAGGAAGAAAACAGAGCTTGAAAATGCTCAAAAAAAAACCCTGAAGAATAAAGCAATGATACTAAAATGTGCTAAAGAGAGATGCAAAAAACCCATAGTGTGATATCTTTGATGTTTCTGGCAAAATGTTATTTCAGCAGAGGATACATCAATGACTTGCAGTGAATAAGACAATGAATCATTAACATGTATAGAGCTGCTAGATAGACACAGGTTTATACGAAACAAACAAGACCCTGTCACACAGGGTTTTTCTGTTTTGGGTTTCTTGCAGATAAAATTGAAACATATTCAGGCAGATGTCTGCCAAGGAACACTTGAAGTGTAACTTTATACTAAGCTGTTGAACAGACTGAAGTGGAGTAGATCAAGAACTAGTATGAGATAACATAACAATACACTGATTATAATTCTAACACATTAATGCTCATGTAGCTTGCCACCCCCAACTATTTTAATGTTGAAGCTCTGCATACCATGAGACAACGGGATTCTTTTTTAAAAAATAATCACAGAATAGAACCCTGGGCAGTAAAATTTCTCTTGATTTACAGATTTCTTCTTGCCAAATATGAATGAGAAAGACAAGTTTTTCTTAAAATTCTAGTTATACTCAAAACTCCCCTTATAAGATCCTTTACCTTTTTTTCCTCCTATGACATGATTCAGAACACCAAAGACCGCAAATGCAAAAAGAAATCAATCAAGAAACATATTTTTTTTTAAATTTTAAGAGGTTAAACAGTTTGCCCTCAAACCACAGAGGGAAACCACAAGGGGGTGATAGACCAAAGAAAAACTAGCAGGTATTACTTACTCTCATTGTCTGAACTGTCACTGGTGCTTAGATGCCTGTGGCGTTTCATCCTGACGCATCCTAAAGAGAAAATAAACAAGCTGATGACTACTGTTCTACCAGAAAATCACTGGCTGCTGGTTGACGCCAAGTTCTTCAAACTAAAGGCAAAGCTCCTCTGAAGAGGTCTCAGGCATAGAAACAATCCCAGTTCAGTCACTATGTTTTATTTCTGCAAGCAACTATTAAATCACAATACTATTTGTGAAACTGAGCACCCTCAAAACCAGCATGCCTCTGCTGGGCAGAGCCTGCTTTTAATTTTGCAGAAATAAGTGCAACCCGCCAGCTGATTCCCGGCAGGGCATGAGCGGTGCACCGCTCCACTCAATGTCCCATCTGTTCAGCTGGAGGAAGAGTTGCCATGGTGGCAGTAGCTAGCTGAGAGACGGGTGGAGGCCAGGAAATAAGGTGGATGCACAGCAAGGCAAGGATTTAGAAATATAACACACCTTAAAAAAAACTAAACAAACAAACAATCAGAAAGAAACTTTACGGCATCGATGCAAAGCAAAAGGCAGATTTTAAATAGTGACAATCATAGAAAGCAGTGACTGATGCCATTTAAGTCATCTGACCACCATTTATTTCATAAGTAATATGGTTTTCAGAAGTTTGAGAAGGGATCAAGAGTATCACTTAGAAATACTTCAGTGGCACTGCATCAGCTGCATTAAAAAAAGGTTTTGAACTTTTCGAAATTAATTTTTCAGCATGTAATGCTATAGAGAGAGAGGAAGAACTTTCTGCACCTCTACTTAGTAAAATAAAAATCAAAACAGTTATCAGCTATATACTCTAAACAAGTGTCAAGAAAAATCCATATATATTCTTACTAGTCCTGCCACTCTATAATATTCAATGTTACATTTGTTAACTAAGGTTCAATAACAATTTACAATTAATAGCAGTAAATAAAAATCACCCCTATGTTTGTAATGGATTGAATGAGAAAATCAATAAGGAAAAGAAGTAAAAAGTAATTCTGCAGCAATATACAAGAACTCTGTTTTGGTGGGTTTTTTTGCTTCTTTTTAAGCAGAGGATATCCTCAAGTAGGTTACAGATAGCTGAAGCTGAAATGTTTGAAGTACTCTAAGTGCCAGCTTGGCTACACCTGAAGTGTAAACAGCTTCATTGCTTAAACATAACCACATGCTATTAAAAAAAGCAACACAGTTGAATATCCTATTTGATAAGCACTCCACATTAGTTACTGTACAATGGGTCTTGAGATTATCCAAATACCACGGGATAAACAAGATCTCCAGATAAGAGAAGCCTGCCCAAAGGCTTTGAAGAGATTGAAATTGAATTGTTTGAGGCACAAGGGTTTAATTTAATGGAAAATTTCAGCAGTCTTTGTATATAAGAGAGTAAGTTTACTGAATCTAAATGCTAAATTACTTTGAGTGATCACTCAAAGTTTAAATCAATCCTTTCAGCCTGTTATATAAAAAGACATGGTCCACACTCCTGAAAGCTGACTAAGGAAACAATGCTTCCAGTTATCAAGAAAGCAGATACAGAATTTCTGAGTCAGGTATTTAACCTGGGGGGAAGACAAAGACACAGGACAAAGGTCATTTACATCATCACTTAAGGTATAAAATTCCATTACATAGCAAATAATTTCACATTATTTCACCTTCTCACAGATCAGGGAACATAGGGGAGACAAGGCAGTCATGCTATATGTGCAGACCAGTGTCCAAGAAAAGAGCAACATCAAAAATTAAACAGTCAAAACACCACGGGGCTTTGCTTCCAGCAAGCAATGTAAGGTAGCTTGTACAGATGAAGAAACTTCCATGAAGCTCTTGGACAAAAGCTGTTTGACATGTAGAAGGCACTTGTGTCAGAAGGACTTGTCTTTGTGCATGTTTTGGGGGCACCAGACTTGAAGTTTGCTGCAGGGTACTGAAGGCAGGTCTAGAAGACTACTTTCATATTGCCAGCTTGTGAAATTTAAAGGATTAGATAGATTTTGATTTTAAGGATTAGATAGATTTTAATTTAAAGGATTTGATAGATTTCACTCAAGAGCAAATAAAACTTACTGCCTGTTTGAGAGCTTGTACTCCAGGCCAAACACAGCCCCTTGGAGCATGCCAAGTCTCCCTAAAAAATGCAGGTTCTGCCCATGACAACTTATCTGCTGGCAGGTTTCATTTCCTGCCTTAAAGACTATCAGGTACATTAGAAGACCTTGGGAAACAACAAAAACAAGTGTCTTAGGGGAGTTGTGCAGTATTCCTCACTTCCATTTCTTACCAAGTAGCAAGCACTTCCATTTTTTAGCAAGAAATGGAAGTGCTTGCTACTTGCTTTGGTTTTATGTTCAGGTGAATTTTTTAGCAACTGTTAAAAGGTGTTGAAAGCTTACGGCAAGCGATTCCCATCTCTTAGAGCCTATATAAACATGCAGCAATAAAACCTTTTCACTCTGTACTAAGGACAGCTATGTGCAAAGTATAACATGAGCATTCAATTAAAGTAGGGTCAAACATGAGGTTGAGAGAGACAGCTACAGGACAGAACACCCAGGAAGCCTGGACTTCTGCCTGGGTGACTAGGAAAGAAGAGCAGAGATGCCTACGCTTCAAAGACAGCTTACATAGAAATGGCAAGTGTAACAAAACCTTTAGAACAGAAAGCTCACCTCTGCCAAAAACTCCATGAGAGCAGAAAAACAAACAAACACACACTCAACAAAAGTAACAAGCTGTAATTTGAGAACTGGGTTTGTAGCAGCTCAGGCAGGAGACTTACACCTCCATGATAGCAGACAGAAACAGAAAAAGTAGTCACTGAGGGCAAAAAAGCCCTGAATAGTCATAATACTGGATTACTGTCTGATTTTTTCAGCAATATTAACCACATCAACAGTGTACAAAAATCCACAGTTACAACAAATTACAGGTGTGCTGTGTTTGGTAAGACATGCTATTTAAGAGCCTAACAGGCTACAAATTCACCCTATGTCCCCACACGATGCAGGAGGACCCAGAGCCTCCGCACCATTCAGCAAAGACCACCTCCACAGGGGATTTCACTTTTCTTTTTAACAGAGAACCACTCTGCTGTCCCCTTGTGCACACTGGGACTGCCACACAACTTCCAGCTCAGTTACACCCCAAGGCATGAGGGCTCATCAGAAAGGCTCCCTGATAATGATGCTTCCATTCCCTAGACATTAGAGAGGGATCCCAGTGACATCCGTTCAGTGGGAAAGCTCCTGCCTCACTTTACCTGCCTTTGAAGAACGGAGAAGAATCAGAAGCTGCTCAATTCAGAAATACTCCCCCCTGCCATGAAAATTGTCAACCTTTCCCAGCTTCAGTCCAAAATCTCCAGAGCAGACTGGCATCCTTCAGTTTGTCCAGGAATTTTGCAAATGGACATGATGAACTTCTTGATTGAACAGACGTAAGTTTTAACATTGACACTCTCTAGCAGTTTCAGTGTACAAGCTAAGAAGTGTAAAGCAACTCAAGACTGAAACGTTGTTGCAGAGCAGAAGAGATGTGGCTCTGCCCCCCTCCCCTCAAAACGCCTGGAGAAAATCCTGGTTTCTCAGACACTAGATCATGATTCTCACTACCTTAGAAAATAAGTAGGAGTGCTTCGGCTGTGGATTTCAAGAGTGCACAGGCATTATAGGCAAGCACAGATTACCTCAAAAATTACCATTAAAAATACAAATATAATAAGTGGGTTTGTCCCTCCATTTTTTTTCTTTTTTACTCCACAGAGGGACTAACATCTTCTTAATCACTTGTATGACAACATACACAAATTCTAAAGATGTCCGCTCTCAAGGATCTTCTAAATGAAAACTGAAAAACAGAAGCAGCAGTAAGAAATCATCATGTCAAGGAAAAAAATGCTCAACTCTGCAGGCAATTACTGCAATGAAACATTTGCCAGCATCATTTTTAATATGAATTAGTAGAGTTATTCCTAAACTTGAACCATATTCTACACCTGTTGCACTTCTAACCTGCCAAGCCATGGCTGCACATTTATGCCAAATCTGTCTGAAACAGCTTAGGACACGAACTGCAACTTTAAAAAAGAGAAATCAGCATCACTGCCTGCTGTCACCTTAACAACTGAACACAGGTCAAGATGCCCTGAACTTTTTTGTGTGTTTAAGCAGAAAACACCCCCAGGAAAACAGCCACAGAGAGCAACACTGCACTGCCAGCTTTCCCTGGCTTCCACGAGGCTCCCACACATATTGGGAATTTTGCCCTGGAGACAGAATCGATGCTTGTATCCAACACATCACTGCACTTTCAAGGAAAGCCAGGAAAAAGCCACCCTGAACACACCTGGCTGAAATGAAAACATGAATCCCAACCTCAGAGGAATCAACACCTCAGCCAGCATGTGCAAGAATCTTAAGATAGTAACACTGGTATTTCCAAAAATCTAAGGGATATGTGTTGTAATTAACGTGTTCTAAGTTATGTTTACTCCTTTTTGCTTGTTCACAAGTATTTGCACTGCTAAAGTGAACAAGAAGCAGCCACTTGCCTCTACCACCAGTCTCTCCCACCCTGAAGAAAATCAATGTATCACTGACTTAAGGCACTTCCCACTTTTCAAAAGCTAGTTACCATGGATTACTCCAAAAAAAATCACTCAAGCAGCACATGTAAGTAGCAGACAGGTAACAAAATTTAAAGCCTTATTCAAAACAAAAACCCATATCAAATACCTGCAGAAACAAGATATTTTTTTCATTTTCAATTTACATCAGAGTAAACAACTAAATTTACCAAATAAACTGTTACATTTAGCTTCTTTTTCTAATGCATTCCTCTGGATAGTTCATCAGTAACAGCAGACACAAGGATGAGATATCACAGAGTCTGAATTTGTACAGCATATTAGGCAAGACATCAGTGACAAGCACACAAAATGAATCCTTACAGCCAGCCAAGATTTCTGAACAAAACAGTATCTCCAAGGAATAGCTGTGCTTCCTGGCTTCAGTTTGTTGCAGACAAAGG